ATGGCCTAGGACTGGGTCCGGGTCGTGGTCTGGGAACTGGAAATATCGTCGTAGGGTTGAATTTGAATTCAGTTCAAATTGAAAGTTCGCAAAGACATCGGGGCTCGAACATACACACTCACACACACACACAGAAACGCACACACACACACACACACAATGATATTTATGCCCTTTCGAATACAGCTCTGCTTTAATTTAAATGGATTCCCACTTGCCAACCAACTCGGCCGTGCAGTGGCAAGTGGAAAGTGGAAAGTGGGAAGTGGGAGGGAGACATATGGCAGCATTTGCAATTTTCATTGCCAAGCTGGTAAAGACCGGAGGAGGGCCGGATCCGGGGCTAACGTTGACTGCTGACTGCTGAGGATTGATTGCGCTTGTTGATATTTTGTCAAATAACGCAAATAAATACACAATTACACACTCAAGTGAGTCCGGGAATTTGCTTGAGGCCGTGCAAGGGTGAGGCTGGCTTGCGGAACGAGTTGAGTTGTGGGGTTCAATGGGGCAGTCCGAACGGAAAGTCAGTTGGTTGGTTGGCTGGTCGGTTGGTCGTTTGGTCGGTTGCTCGTGTGCTGCTGTCCTTGTTCAAAGGATTTTCATATGTTTAAATGTGTTTTATCGAAAATGACCAAACGGTTGTTCCTTTTTTGTTGTTGGTGGTGACCAAGGCATTGCCTTGGCTACACAAAATTTATTCACGGTGCACAGTGGCCAACATTTGGATGGGACTATGCAGAGTCATACAAGTATATAAACCTGGTCTCATAGACCAGCAAATCATTTAATAATAGACAAATATTTTCAAAAATTGTCCTCGTTTTAGCAACCATTACCCTAAAGACCGGTTGATGAAACGAGTACCTTTCCCCTTCGTAATATCAACAGGATTTCTCTAATTCTCCTAAATAAGGTACCATATTTCTAAAAGTAAAAGTTTGACAAATTTGATGTTCCTTAGCAAATTCACTTTTCTTATATGAGGGAATAGAAAAGAAAGGAGGGAAACAAATGTCAGTCAGTTAAGTGTTGAAATGGCTAGACAGCGCATTACTTCCTCTTTGTTGATAATTGGCATCGTGAACTGGCAATCCACGGATAATATAAGGGATTGATTTCAAATAGTCTATGAAGTATTTCTATTCAAATTGACATGTGTGTCTCAAGAGGAAAATTAAATTCCATGGGTTGGTTAATTCAGCCGCAACTGTGTCTTTGAAACCATTTTAGATTGGGAAAATTATAAAAAAAATAGAATTAAATGTATTTCACAACACGGCAAAATTGTTATTTGAATCCAACAGTTGTCGTTGTCTATTTAAGAAATAGTAGTATTTTGATCAAAGTTAACAATTGCAGGTGAGTTTTTTGAACCCTAACTGAATTTAATTTTGGGGCAATATGGCAAAATTAAGCCCACTGTGGAACCTTTTCACTAAGTTGTTGCTATTTTTCTCCACACGTCCGTAAATTTCAATGTAAAATGTTGCATTTATCTTGTAAAAATAATAAATCCAACTGAGGGGACTCTGCTCTCACGCTTGGAAGAGCAGAACAACACAATAGGTGGTGAAGGGGGTTCGTGGGTAAGGGGCTGGGGCGGCCCTTTAGCTGAATACGTTACTTAAGCTAATTTTATGAACAGTTGAAGTAAGCTGCTAGCTGCAATAGCACGTTTTAGGCCTTTAACCCATTGACTGCTGTTGGCCTCTGTCGGGGTGGAGAAGGGAGAGTAGAAAATTGTACGCAACCATTACGCTCGGGGTCATTAATTTAATTTATTTATTGGCTTGTTTCATTGGCGAATTTATTTCGTTTCGAAAATCCCAAATGGTATAAATTTAGTCGAATGTGAAAATTGGGTGCATTTTGGCGCATGCACTTTACACTCGCTAAAGAACACACACACACACACACACAGAGAGACTCACACAATCATAGATACACAGACTGATATGGCATGCAATTGTATATCAAAAGAGGATTTTCATTATAAAATATCACACGGCTCAGGCTATGGCAGCGCTTTTGGAATTGGCGTTCGTGCTGGTGTTGGTGGCGGGACTTGGGCTATGATGCAAAAATGTCGCGCCAACTAAGCGAAAAACAAATAACGAGAGCAACCACAACAACAGCAACAATTCGAGCGCCACCCAAAAGAGTTTGCAATTTATTTTAAAGTAAAAGTATCTAAAGGCATGACAAATAGCGTGAGATATGTTGCAGCCACTCCCCGGCGTACCTCCCTCGACTCATACACACACATGACTGCGCGCCTCCATTAAAATGCGACATATGACGGGCGCTCTTTGATTTATTTGCATACAAAAAGGCAGCGGCAGGCACGCCGAGAAAAACAGCCACACACACACACACACAACGCAAACACACGTCGCCCATTTTTGACGCCAACTGTTTTTGCTGCGGATGCCGAGGGTTGAAGTCTGCGAATTAAAGGACAGCTCCAACAGGTGGTCAAGGGGAAGGGCAGCATTGCACGTCATTTCATATGAAGTTACGTAATTGTGCCCCAAGGTCTGTTGCATATGGGATTCATACGTGTATTTGTTCAACGCTGAGCGAATCCCAAATGGTGCCCAATTACCAGAATCACAAGGTGGGATCCAAATTAAACAGAACGTCTCAAAAATAAAAGCAACCAAAATGTTTTCGGACAAACGCGCTCCAATGCACGAATTTGCCGCGAACTTGTGATTGAGTGTTAAAACCTTGAACGCACTAATCCGTACAAATAGATGTAAGTGGCGCCTTTTTCCAAAGTCTAGTTTCCTAAGAAGTAAAAGAAAAACCTTTTCGGCAGCTCCGGACTTCTTTAGTACTCCAATCGCACATTTATTAAGTATTGAAAGATCCGAAGGAGCCTCCATCTTAGATTGTTCGATTGATCTCTATCGATCTCTTCCTTCAACCCAGCATAGGAGTCCTATGAAAACTGCAATATACATTCTTCTTTATACTATATACATATGTATATACAAGCTGACCTTTTCAAAATACAAATTTTTAATACCCCACATACACAAAATGATGCGTTGGTTCATAACTATCGGATGAATAGAATAAAACTGTACTATCGGTAAATTAAAAAATACAAATAAATAGTAATTTCTGATTTAAACGTTCCAATAGATGAAATAAGTTTGTATTGATAGTTGTCTAATCTAATCCAGAGTCTTTCAGTGAAATATGCGATTCAAGAAAGGTCGTGTGGATGAAATGAGTGGAAGCAGAATTAAATATCTCCAGATCAACGATTCATCGGATTTTGCCGAACCATTCGTCTCATCGGACCACACTTGAGACTGATTTTTTGACCACAATTCGCCCCCAACCTTCAATTACACCCAGCGTTCGCCCGACTTGGCACCGGAAATGCATTTGAAGATAAAGTCCTGCTTACTTTGGAAGGCACCTTGTAGATAGAACGGTATTCGTTGCAAGCAAGCTGCTTTCAACTATTGAGAAATTTGATTTGTACTAAAGGTACTCGCGTAATCCTAGGAGCTTGCAACAAATATTCGTACTATTTGCCTCTAATGAGCCACGAATTTATTCAAAAAAATGTATTTTTACTTATTTGCCATTATCAGTAGTGTCAGTGTTGATGTATATAGTTGATGTTATTAAATCTTCTTAAGAACGATTTCTAGTACCATATACATTGACCGATTCGTTAGATTATAAGAAGGCGGTTTTAGCCAATCTAAAGACTTATTAGAGCAACAATTATTACCGTGCCAATGCCTTTGCTACGGCTGTGGCCCCACCTGTGTCCTCTTCCCTTACCAGAGCCTATTTATTTACTCTTCTACTTCTACTTCACTCGCCCACTCCCCGCTACGCCCAATTCATCATGTGCCGCCACCATTTTTCGGAGCGTCAAGTTGCATTAAGCTGTTATTTATGCAAATTTTGCATGTTTCAACTTTTCGCAAAGTGCGTCGTGTCGTTTTCTATTATTTAAAACTTTAGACAAAATTTACTAGAGTGCCGGGGCAGATATTGCGTAGGGGCGCGGACAGTGGTGCAGGAATATGTCTTAATGCGCGCACCTGACGCGCCACAACTTCCTCAAGCCAGCACTCGATTCGGGAAGTGGCATGGAGGAGGGATAGGGCTCTGCGCGGCAGGTAGGGTGTGTGTCCTGGCGTGCTTTGTGCATAATTTTGTGCGCGGCTGTTAAAACAAATAAATTCTGGCGGCTAAAGTTATTAGATTAGCATTAGAGGAAAGCTTTGAGCTGCGTGCTGTGTCGGGGGCTGCGGAGGTCCACGACAGCAGTCGACGTTAGTGATGGTCTGGCATCTAAGCTTAAAATTATGATTTACCATGGATATTTACATGCATATAAAGATGCTAAGGCAGAATGCATGCGAAGCTGAAAATACTATAAAAAGCTTGTTGGCGGGGTGGCGAGTCACGTGTTTTTCATGGTTTCCTACACAGAACATGCAAAATTTATGGGTTATAACTCCTGCATGATCCTGCGATATTACTATATACCAAAAAAAAAAAAACACCAAGACAGGTGTCTCCCGTAAGGAATTGGGTTACTCTGGAATCCCCGTTTCAGGCTATGTCCAGAGGAATGGAGTTTCGAAAACCTTTTGATTTACTTTACAATAAAGTGGAAATTTTCAAAATATACAGATGAAAACATTTTTGGTTTTGATTTGGTTTTGCTTTGCTTTTTCCTCGACTTTAAGTTTGCATAAATTGGTGAATAAACTATTTAAATTTGCCATTTACATACAAAATAATACTAGAAACTAAAACTAACCATCTTTCTTATTTTGAGTTTTAATAATCCAGTTTATTTATATTATATATTTTAAGTTAAGTTTGAAGTAAATAATGCTCAGCTATCAATTATTTTTTCAAGTTTTAAATAACCACTAACTTTATTTGTTAGGCTTCAGATGAGGTTCTAGTTGCCCCAATGATCTTTATTGACGATATTTTTCTATTCCTTGCAGGTAAGAGATACTCAGAATCTCTTGCGGGATCACTTCTTCCAGACTGGCTAGGTAAGTACAATTTTTGTTATTTATTCGTGTAACCTTAGTTTTTAGTTTGTAATTTTATGTTCCACAACGCAGATACCGCATTGTTTCATTTTATCTGTGCTTTTTTCTTGGTTGCGAACCCTTCTACCTACACCATACAATCCAACACTCGTACATTCTCAAGCCATGGCACATGCACTTACCAGAACGGTTTGTGCCGCCTTTTGATTTTTGAACACATACTTTCCGCCTCTGAAATTTGAAACAAAAGCAATCGATTCGTTTTGACGACCACGTATCAAATTCGGTGACATTTTTATCCTCCAAAATGCCAAAAACAAAAAATCCGATTTCTTCAGCCCACCACGTGTCCTCCACTACCCAACCAAACGAGCTTCTTTCTATTTTGTGTTTTTGTTGTGTTCTGTTGTTGCTGTTGTTGTTATTGCGCATATGCATCCTCTTGAGTTCCGTGTCAGTATCAATATCCGTATCCGTATCAGTATCAGTAAAAGTCAATGAGAAGCAGCACTAGCCGGGTGAGGAGCGCACTTGCCGAACTGGAGGTAAAGACCGATTAAAATTCAAACTCTAACTCAATCTTTAGTCAAATAAATCTTAAATATTGTGTGCAATGCTGTACATACATAGTGCATATATCATATTCTCTCTCTCATTACACGCACCTATCTATACTATTGTATGTACATATGTATGTATTCTACTTATGTCTAGCATGTGCATGAGATTTGTGAACACATCATCATCATACACGTACACACACAAAGGCACTATATTTTGCGATGACCAGCAAGCTCTACTGTAAGTGTGCGATTACCAGTTCATAAAGCTTGCCAAATAATTGCCAATTATTCAGTTTATCAACCAAGCAAGCACACACACACACACACACACACACATGCACTCACACACAAATGACATATGCTCGGTGCCGAGCTTTTATTTAACCCAATTAAAACCACCCACAAAGGTCGACACTTGCTTGCAAAACTATCACTTGGCACGCAAAGAAAGGCGGGCGAGAAAATGGAGAGCCTGCTGCTGGGCTCACGATCCACTAAGCGTATCATTTTGTTAGCAATTTTTCAGCATGTTGCACTCTAGGAATCACCCCAAAGCACGCAGCCCAAATAAGTACATAGTAACGATTGAAAATGCTTAAATATTTTTACACCTTTCTCTCTTTATCCCTCCCTCTCTCTCTCTCTCTCTCTCTCTCTCTACATGTATATATAAGTATTCTATACACAGTCACACAGCAACACGCTTGTATATAAACAGAGCCACACCACTCTCCAATTAAATTGCAATTGTATATTCTGTAAATATTCGTACACCATACATACATATAATTTACCGCCACCCTCCACTCCCAACTGAGGAGCAGCAGGTACTTGAACATCCACAGAGCAAACATTGTTCAATTGTTGTTAATTTTGTGTTTTTAGTTTTGTTAACTGCGCTCTTCAAGTGCACTTCACAGCCCATTCGAATGCCGCTCCTGTTATTGTTGTAGTTGTTGCTTTTGTTGCCGGCGCCATATATCCTTACTCATACGATAAATGGCAACTAAAAAGCCGGCCGAAGCTCCTGATTTGAAGTATGCAACCTTTCAACCAGCCGGCAAAAAGTGACTCCCTTCCCCATACATATGAGTATATATAGTATATTTATTGCGATTTTATACCAAGCATAATTTAGCAACACACACACACACATACACACACACACACACACACACGCTTTTATAGCCACTGAACAAATAGGGAGGAAAATATAAACAAACTTTACTTTCTAAATGCCACTTTCCAATCGAAATCAATGCTTGCGTCTACTTATAAAAAGGTCCTGGCTTCTCGCAGACTGTGCGGGAACGGGCGGAAGAGGGAAGGCAATAGCAACAACCTCCTCGTACATGCTATATACCCATTGAAGCTTAATCCAAATCCAGCTCCCTGTCGCCCTCACTGTGGAGCTGGCGTATAAATATTTATCTGAAATGTCAAATCATCTGAGAAACACAAAACGTAAAATCCATTAGAAAATTAATAAAGAAAACTCACTCCAGGCAGCGATTTGTGAAAATGCGGTTTCGCACAGCTCCCTGGCTGTAATATTTACTTTTATATACGGATGTCGTATAGACTGTATTGCCTGCTGGCGACCCTGGAGAAGGGCTGAAAGCCGGCGCTAATAGATTGAAACCGACTTGATTAGAATAATGTATTGTGGGTAATTTTTGTGATGGATTGAAACCTTTGGCTGGGAGAGCGGAAACCGCCCGATTATATACTCTATGTACATATAAGGGTATATAGCATTAGATGCGTAAGAGATTCCGCTGAATACTTCAAAAGTGCCATTTTTCATAGGTGTTTGAAATTTGCAATGCATTTTGCTTTTATCGATTAGGATTAGGATTTAGTTACTAAATCTTTAAACCATAACCTAAGGAACAAACTTTTAGGCAAACAAAAGAGAACGATACAGTCAAGCAAGCCCTATAGTGAAATACCCTGTACCCAGACAAACTTCGGGCAAAAAGAATAAGGAGGCAGCTTGCGAGCCTAGTACTGAAGTGAAATTGATTCGCGAATACCTTTGCTTGGAATTGACCGATTTGAAAAAATTGAAATGAATTTAAAACAATAGTAGACAATTGTATTTAGATTCCACGTGCAATGTTTGGCTTATGTAAGAAAATATGATGCTATGCACAAAATATGTGCGCACTGATTCTATTCTTTTTACTCTGGCCTGATGGATAAGGGTTTCATAAAAGCAGAAGGAGGCGTGGTAGACTCCAAAAATACATAAGTATATTGTGCTGCTAATCAGCAGTATAAGACCAGTCTAAGCGAATGCAACAAATGCTCAAGCAAGCAGTCGGGCAAAAGATTGTAATTGTATTTAAAGAAATTTCCAACTTCAGCGATTCCAAGTCTGTAATGTGCTTCAAAAATCGGCAAGAAAGCATAAATGAGGCAAAAATTCTTCGACTGGCAGCGTTCCCTCTGGAGACGCGCGCCACAGCGCAAATAGCACGCAATAAACGAATAACAGCATAATAATGTGCAATAAAGTATCTAAATTTGTTGGATTGTTGATAAACTTTGGCGCCACTTCGCCGTGCAAGATGAAATGGGGCGATTGAAAGCGCCGCCACATTGAACAGAGATGTCTGTGTGCCTTACAAGTGGGGCAATATTACTTCTTTGAGTTCAGTTCTATTGAAAAGACTAGTTAGATACACTGATTCTAAAATCACATCGTGCAGCAAAGTATTATGGCAAACGGCTAATGGGCAGCGAACCTATACTCGGAACGAGTGCCGGAAGTTAAGGAAATCTCAAATGGGGCATACACCCAGAGAACAAATTTGTCTTTGAATTACGGACAGATCGAAATTCTTATGCAAATAGCTTGAATTAAAATTTATTTTAATTGACGTGGTTTTGATTCACTACACAAGATTATTTATATTTCTTTAAAGTAATATAAATTTATTTTTGCTATCGCGTATTAACACTCTTAAAGTAATAAATAATTAATAATCACACGTCATATTTATAGACCAGTCCATACTGTCCACGATAGCCGAAAATATTGAGAACATGTTGAAACAGCTTTTCCTTAATAAGTATTATAAAGATCGAAATTCTTACGAGTTTCATATTTTAAAACTCTTTTTTTGGATTTCCTCGATCTCGCTTGCTCAAATCTTAAGTACATTTGCGTAGAGTTCGTACTTGAAATTACAAGTGCACCATTATATTTCCACAATCGGTTTTTGCTTTCAGTTGTACGACTCCATGGTACTCCTTTCCTAGCTTCCGGAGTGAGCTGTACTTTGTAGAAACTATCTTTTCTGTTGACTCGTCTCATTCGCAGGTGGGGCGGACACGTATGAATACCTCATGCAGTCGGGATTAACTTCTTACTAAGTACTGCTCCTGTACACCTCCTTATATCACACACGTCACTGCAAATTGTCGCCGGCGCGAACCTCGTCCATTTAAATGCCCCGCAGAGACTGGGGAAATTAGTTAATTGGTGGCCAGCTCGTCTCGGCTGGAAGTGCGGTGCAAAACTCGCATTCAAGTCTGAGCCCAACCCCACCAAGCCCACTTTCTTGCAATTAAGGCAAATTACTTTCGACCTCTCGTTTCAACGATTGTGCTTGCTTGATAATACATTATCTGCAAATGTTAAATGGCAGTTTTTCAGCATTTAAAAACATTATGGATGGATTATGGTAGTGTACAAAACATTATCATTATTTCAGGATCTCAAAACATGATAAAGGAGAAGCTTTAAAATATATAAAAAGAAGTCATGATTTGGTAAAATAAAAATAATAAATATGGGCATGCTCTGTCTGACTGGAGCTTGGGTTTCATAACTCATCCGTCCCCTCGGTAACGAAACAAAAGCATTCAAGAAACTTGTACAGTATTGGTCTCGCGGATAGAGGAACTACGGCTAAAAATGTCGACGGTTATTTTTTGAGAAATCAACAATTTAGTGCGAACTGAACGCTTGCACCTATTTTATTTAACTGCAACCTAATGGTTTGTTTTGATGCACAGAATTTGAGACTGCAAGCCGGAATCTCTTAAGCTTAAGCATAATGTAATGGAATCGCAAACGAAAGGAAAGTGGAGGGTCTGTCAAAAAAATGCCCCCAAATGTGCAAATGCGTCCCATGCGCTGCTTCACCTGAGCTACCAAAAACGATGCCCACATTTCCTTGATGCTTAATGTGTGCCTTTATTGATTTTCGTACGCCATTAAATTTGCACAGTTACCCATATTTCCCGCCATTTGCCAACGTGGCAAGAGGAAGAGCTCGTGTGCCACCTCCCTCCCACCATCCTGGCACGCCAGCGGCTGTCAGCAGACAGCAGGCAGCAGGCAATGTGGCAGATATTTTTCTTTTGCCAGCTCAGCAGATGAATGCGTATAATTTTCGGTTTGATTTATGGCCGCTGACCCCCGAC